CCGGCCATTTTTTGGTTGCAGCCGTCATTGTTGTTTGGCGGGTCCGGGCTGGGGATTCGAACCCGCCACCTTAGGTGTACGCGGCTGGCGCCCTAGCCGGTTGAGCTATAGGCGCCGAGCCCATCTCTCATTTCTAAACTCATAATGGTGCCTTCAATAATAGCCTCCGATTCAAACTTATACCATCTAAAAATAACTAATTCCTTTCATTAATTTGGGTAAGTTGAAACCTCTGACTCAGAATCAATCAACAACATCAAAATAAGAGAGGCCAATAAGAAAATATTAGACAGCAATCCTGGAATCAACTCTGGCAGGAATGATGGAGCAACTTTTTCTAAATTGCTTCCTTTCTCAGGAGTATGCCTTGGGTCATCTAAACCTAAAAACATCTTTAAAATCTCCCAAATACAAACTTACATTGCTAGCAATGTTTGGCACACAATAAGTGCTCAAGATATACTGGTTGAAAGATGAATAAAAAAATAATGATAAAAAATTTGGGAGCTTGAAGAGATGACCAGGCTCATCCTGCCCAGCCTCCTAATTTTCAGCGAGAAAAGAGAGGTCTATAGCGGGTGATTCACTTGTTCAAAACCACACAGCTCTAGTTATTAACAGACCTGGATCTAGAACTCAGGATTCCTGACCTCAAGCCTACTTTGGCCAAAGGTGCTGTCTTTTTCCAGGTTCCTTATGTGCTTGGGCTTCTGAAGACTGAAGAAGTCTGTGGCCAAGAGCTTAGACCAGCCTTGAGGGTCCCATGGCTGTTCATTTTGTGAACACACAGGCATTCCCGTATAAGGTCGTATTACTGTGGGAACCTAACTGGGTGTCATTTAGTGGTAAGAAATCAGCTTCACTTTTCCCTAGAAAATGACCTTATGGCAGTGTTTTCTTAATCTGAAATGTTTTGTTAAAAATAAATTAGGGCAGAAATAGTGCTTATACAAGAGATGCTGATTATAATGTCTTATATTTGGATGTTTCTCACTGTTTCTAAAATACTGCCTAGATTATCTTGCATTTCTGTTTCTTTAAGTTACAGTTAATTGACTTGCCAGATGTTCACTTGCTGTTGGTAAATGAACTCTTCAAGAGCATTATATAATAATTGTGAGAGATGAAGACGCAAGACCTACTAATGATTCCAAAAACATGGGCTTCTCTTCAGCTTCTCTTCAGGGGTGGTCACTTCTGGATGGTAGGTGACAGGGCAGTGTACTGGCACAGGGCCTAGGCAGAGGGCAAGGCCACTTGACCTGCCTCTGTTTACCTTTGTCCCAGGCTAGCCTAGGCTCATTAGCTCACTGCAGCCATAATTTATTTGAACAGGAGGTGGCAGAGTGTGTACTTAACCTCAGGTACCAAACACTCAAGTTTTAAAAGCAGTGCATTGTGACGTCAGCTTGAACTCACAGGCTCCCGGGTGGGTCCAGAACATAGAACAGGAGAAACCCTAATCAAAGATTAACTTTTCATCACAGAGGTAGAAGGGTTTGAAGAATGCCTCCAGCTGCCTGGTTATCTCAGGTATGTGGTGCTCTGGGACACCCAGCCCTCCCTGCCTCAGGCTCCGGGCACTTGGGCGGACGCCAGCAGTGGACATTACCTGCCTTGGCTGGTTGACTTTTGCTCCTGAAGACAACAGTAATCGAATAACATCCAAATAACCACCTTGGGCAGCCAAGAAGAGGGCAGTGGCTCCATCCTGAGAGAGAACAAATTAAAAGTGTTTAAAAAATGAATCATCTTTCACATTCATTTTAAAAGAAATTAGATTAAAAATATAGAAATTCAATACAATTTTTCATTTCTATCCTCTTTTAGGTTTCCATCCTCTTGTCAATTAAGGGCTAAGTGTTAGATAACAAGGCTGGGCTCTGTTGCTCACGCCTGTAATCCTAGCACTCTGGGAGGCCAAGGCGGGCAGATTGTCCGAGCTCATGGGTTCAAGACCAGCCTGAGCAAGAGTGAGACCCTGTCTCTAAAAATAGCCAGCATTGTGGTGGGTGCCTGTCATCACAGCTACTCAGGGGGCTGAGGCAAAGAACTGCTTGAGCCCAAGACTTTGAGGTTGCTGTGAGCTATGACGCCATAGCACTCTACTGAGGGTGACAAATTGAGACTCTGTCTCAAAAAAAAAAAAAAGACTCTGTCTTGAAGATAACAAATCCTTCAAGCCTAATTTTTATGCGTTCATGAATTGGGAGTAAAAGGGGTCTTTTTTATTTCTTTATTTTTTTGAGACAGAATTTGCCCTGTCACCCCGTGTAGACTGCAGTGGCTTCATTATAGCTCAATGCAACCTCAAACTTCTGGGCTCAAGCAATTCTTCTGACTCAGCCTCCTGAGTAGCTGGGACTACAGGTGTGTGTCCCCAGCTAATGTTTTTCTATTTTTGGTAGAGAGGGGCTCTACCTGAGCTCTTGCTCAGGCTGATCTTGAACTCCTGAGCTCACGTGGTCCTCCCATCTCACTCTCCCAGAGTGTCGGGATTACAGGTGTGAGCTGCCACACCTGGCCTTCATTTTTATATTTTATTTTTTTGAGATAGGGTCTTACTCTGTTGCCTGGACTGGAGTGCAGTGGTGTCAAGACAGCTCTCTGTAATCTCAAACTCCTGGGCTCAAGTGATCCTCCTGCCTCAAGCCTTCTGAGTAGCTGGGACTACAGGTGCCTACCACATGCTCAGTTAATTTTTCTGCTTTTTGTAGAGATGAGGTCTCACTGTGTGCTCAGGCTGGAAAGGTGTCTTTTAAATTAAATCTTTCTGATTCTTTTCTCTTTCTTGCCCCTTATCCATATTCTCCCAACCTGACGTTAAGTATTAAAATGTTTTCAGAAAAACTCCCCTAAAAAGAATCTCCAAGAATTCTCTCCCTGCCAGCCCAGCAGACAGCAACATTCATAAACACAAAAAGCAACCCTGCATAAAGCCCAAAGCAAGTGCTCCTTTCCCAATGTTCTTTAGTTTTCTTTTTAACCAACTATGTTTTCAGGATGTTCTAAGAGAACTTCTTGAAGACATGTCATTTGGTGGCCTTGGTTGGCAAATGTAGGGGTCAGCTGTAGGCACGTTCTCCATGAGAGCTCACTTTAGCCAGACAGCACTCACTGCACAGAGCGAGCGCCACTGTTTTCAGATTGCAGTGGAAAACCTGAGCACACCCCCGTGGAAAACGCCTATCAAACCCAGCTAATTACCACACCTCCCTTCAGGAACACTAACCACAAGGTAGAATACAGTGCCGTTCCCCGCAAGTCCAACCAGATGAGTCATGTGGAAGGTGCTAGATTACCAGTGGGTGCCAGCTGCGATGCCCTCAAGACAGTTAAAAATTCTAGCACTTGGCTTGGCATGTGTAGCCCAGTGGCTAGGGCGCCAGCCACATACATGGGAGCTGGCGGGTTGAACCCTGCCCAGGCCTGCCAAAAAACAATGACAACTACAACCAAAAAAATAGCCCGGGCATTGTGGTGGGTGCCTGTAGTCCCAGCTACTTGGGAGGCTAAGGCAAGAGAATCACTTGAGCCCAAGAGTTGGAGGTTGCTGTGAGCTGTAACACCACAGTACTCTACCAGGGGAGACACAGCACAGTGAGACTCTGTCTTAAGAAAATAAAAAAAAAAAAAGACAATTGTCGAAAAATTAATCAGCCTATGTAGATTTTTAAACAAATGTTTGCTATGGGAATAAAATTTTCGGAAAGTCTACCATGCCTTTAACTCCTGCTAACTCTCCGGAATTGTCTAAGATGGGCTACCCATGCAATGAATTTTTCACTGTGCATTACAAGTTTTAGTTGCACCCCCATCCACCTATATTTCAACTGGCTTTTTCTTGAGACAGGGTCTCCCTCTGTTGCCTGGTCTAGAGTGCAGTGACATCATCATAGCTCGCTGCAACCTTAAACTTTCTGGGCTCAAACAATCCTCCTGCCTCAGCTGAGTAGCTGGGACCACAGGTATGTACCACCACACTCTGACCTCAAGGGATCCTCCCACCTAGACCTCCCAAAGTGCTAGGATTACAGGTGTGAGCCATGGCACCTGGCCCTCAATTGTTTTTGTTTGTTTGTTTGTTTTGAGACAGTTTCACTATGTGGCCCTCAGTAGAATGCTATGGTGCCACAGCTCACAGCAACCTCAAACTCTTGGGCTTAAATGATTCTCTTGCCTCAGCCTCCCAGTGGCTGGGATTACAGGCACCTGCCAGAACACTTGGCTATTTTTTGGTTGCAGCTGTCATTGCTATTTAGCGGGCCCAGGCCGGGCTTGAACCCACCAGCCTCGGGTGTATGTGGCTGGCGTCCTACTCACTGAACTATGGGCGCCAAGCCCCTCATTTGTTTTTGATGAAAACATCTGGATTGCTTAGGTAAGAATAAGTCTTAACATAAAGTCAAAGTTATGATGCATGAAGTTTCTTGAATCATGTTATAAAGAGAGGAATGTTTTTCTCTATCCACTATTTTTGCCAAGCACCTTATGTATCCAATTGCCCACCTAACACCTCCATTTGTGCGTTTAATCACCGTCTCGAGTTAGTGTGGCCAAGCGGAGTTCTTGGTCCTCAACTCTGTTTTCCCCTAGGCTCCCCATCTTTTTAAAAAACACTCAATTCACTCCATTGTTCACAATAAAGCCAGTAAGTCATACTTAATTCTTCCCTTCCTCCTGTACTTCACATCAATCCTTCAGTTCTACACTGAGCATGTTTCAGAGCATCCACTGCACTCCGCCTTCAGCATCTTGAGGCAGGGCTATTCAATGGCCTCACAGCTGGCCTCCCCGTTTGTGTTATAGTTGGTGCACATCATTTCCTGCTCAAAACTCTGTGATAGCTCACTGTGGTCATCTCAGCTGCCCATGGCTGTTCCTTGCCTTCCTCCCTGTTGTCACATTACTGACCTCCCCGCCACACACCATGTTCCAGCCATGCCAGCCTGCTTCTTCCTCCTTGAATCCCCCCAGTGTGATTCCCACTTCAGTATCTTTGCACGAGCTGCACTGAACGCCTGGACGCTCTGCCCAATCTTGAAGCACTGCTGCCTCCTTTCCCTTTCAGTTAAAAATCAATACACCACTTCCTGGCCAGGCCTTCCCCAACCACCCACGTTAAGTTAGCCTTCTGCCTTCCTCACCACTTCTGCTTTATTCTCCTTTTTAAAATGTGTGCCTTTCATGAAAAAAAAATTAATAGATTTAGGCTTGGAGCAAAACAAAGGGGAAACGGGGGTGGGGGTGGTGTGGGGTTGATAGGGCAATCGGGGCTGCAGGAATAGAGATGCTAGGGACCCTACCAGGAGTGAGGAGAGGGGAATGGGGGAGGAGGGGCAGCCAGGGGTGGGGCAAGGGATGTGGGAGCTGGGTATGGGGGAGGGCAGCGACGGGGGGGGGGCGGGGGGGAGGAAATTTGGGAGGAGTTTATGGGGGGTAGCAACTTAAAAGGGGCGAGAACTGCAGCTAAGGAGATGTTCGGTGATGGGAATGCAATATAGGAGGGGACGGGGCGCCTCAGGTTTAAAAGAGCAGGAAGCTGGGAGAGGTTGGAGAAAAAGGGGCCTTTGCTCAGCCTAGGTTGCAGGTGTCGTCTCAGAAAGAGCTCTAAGGCTGCAGGCTGTAGTGGGGAGAAGATCACAGACCTGTGTGGAAGGGACAGTTTGGGGGCTAGTGTCCTGGGGCGAGGGGAAGTTCACTAGCAGGATTGTACGTCCTGGCCCTCGGCCCTTCCCCCCGTGGGGAGGCATTGTGGGGGACTGTGCCAGGCTTCACCGAATGCTGAACTGCGGAGGTCCAATGCCACGTATGGATCCGGGGAATGAGAATTCAGCTACAGAGGCTGCCGTGATCATAGACCTCGATCCTGACTTCACACCTCAGAGCCGTCCCTGCTCCTGCACCTGGCCCCTTCCCCGACCAGAACTCACTACTGAGCCGTCCCAGCGCCCGAGGTGGAGCCAGGTCTGGGAGAGAAGGTACACGCGGAGGGGCATTCAGAGCCTATCCTGTTGTCCTCCAGGCTTCCAGAGCCAACAGGGGCCCCCCAACCCGGGATCCTGGGGGCTGTAACAGGTCCTCGGAAGGGAGGCTCCTGCCAAATGCCTGGGGAAATCAGTCATATGCAGAACTCACCAGCCGGCCATTGAAAGCGCCCCAGACAAACGACTGACACTTGCCCAGATCTATGAGTGGATGGTCTGAACTGTGCCCTACTTCAAGGACAAGGGTGACAGCAACAGCTCGGCAGGATGGAAGAACTCAATTCGCCACAACCTGTCCCTGCACAGCAAGTTCATCAAGGTTCACAATGAGGCCACCGGCAAGAGTTCTTGGTGGACGCTGAACCCAGAGGGAGGCAAGAGTGGCATGGCCCCCCCGCTGCCGGGCTGCCTCCATGGACAGCAGCAACAAGCTGCTCCCGGCTGCAGCAAGGCCCCCAAGAAGAAACCACCTATGTGGCCAACTCCATCTGAAGGTGCCACTTCAACCAGCCCTGTTGGCCACTTCGCCAAGTGGTCAGGCAGCCCTTGTTCTCGAAACTGGGAGGAAGCCAATGTGTGGATCATCTTCTGTCCAAATGCTAGCAGTGTCAGCACCCGACTGTCCCCCATGAGGCCAGAATCAGAGGTGCTAGCAGAGGAGGAAATACCTGCCTCAGTCAGCAGCTATGCAGGAGGTGTTCCTACACCCTGAATGAAGACCTAGAGCTGTGAGATGGGCTCAATCTCACATCTTCTTGTTCCCTGCTATCTTGGAGTAGTCTCTCTGGCTTCTCTTTGTAGCATCCTGGGGTTACCTGCCCCTTACACTCCTATAGCACCTCCTTCTTCAGCCCAGCAGAGGGGCCCCTGTTAGCAGAAGGGTGCTCCTCAAGCTCCCAGTCTCTGGAGGCCCAGCTCACCTCTGATATGCCACCACCCCCTGCTGATGTCCTCATGTCCCAGGTAGATCCCATTCTGTCCCACGTTCCAATGCTTCTGTTGCTGGGAGGGATATACCTTCCTCTAGTAAGCTGGCCACAGGAGTTGGCCTATGTCCTAAGCCCCTAGAGGCTCCAGGCCCCAGCGGTCTGGTCCCCACCCTTTCCATGATAGCACCACCTTCAGTCATGGCAGGTGCTTCCATCCCCAAGCTCCTGGGGACACCAGTGCTCACAATCCCTACTGAAGCTGCAAGCCAAGACAGAATGCCTCGGGATCTAGATCCTGATATGTCTATAGAGAACCTGGAGTGTGACATGGATAACATCAGCAGTGATCTCATGGATGGGGGTGAGGGACTGGATTTCAACTTTGAGCCAGATCCCTGGGTCATGGCTGGAAGCTTTGTCTCCTGCTTCAGAGCTGGACCCAAGTGTGTCCAGTGTCCATATTCACTCTTTGAGCCCTCTCCAGGAAATTGGGATCCTGCTTTAGAGCTAGGGTGGGGTCTAATCGCACAAGCAAGCAAGCAAGCAAGCACACAGGCACATGGGTGCTGAGGAAATTATAAAGAAAGCTGCCCTAGTGGGGACTACGGGAAGAGGAAAGTGGGAGGGGCAAAGGGAGAGGGCTTATTTTCACTGTGCCAAATTAGGGTGTAAGGTCCCCTCTCAGGAGCCATCCTTGGCTTCCCCCATTCCCACCCCCTAGGCTTTGTAACAGGGGCAGGCAATGCTGTTGGAAATGTGAAGTCACCAGTGGCCTTACCCCTGCGTTTGGGAGCAGGATTTTTTGTAGAGAGTCTTATATAAGCTGGACCAGGCTATGTCAGCCTGGAGTTTTTATGCCGTGGTCCCCTTAGGCTAGTGGTGTGAGTGGGGGGTAGGAAGGATCTGAAATGGCCAAGATCTGAGCACAGAGCTGCAGATAACAGAAAGGCTTTTATAAACTTTTAAAGAAATATAAACACAAATATAGAGATTTTTAACAGTGACAAGATGCTAGAGATGGAGAGAATGTTTTTTTCTTTCTGAGGGCATTGTCATAGTGACATGATACCAACACTACAGACAATATACTAGCTGAGACACAGGGAAATGGGGGAGGAGTGGGGAGTAACAGTGAACAAGGAAGGGGAAGACCTCTTATGTGGACCAGGTCTAGAAAAAGGTCTGTGCATAATGCTTTAGAGGTTCCCTAAGGAAAAGCTAAGTCAGATCCCCTCATTCTGTCAGCTTGTCCTTGGGAGTGTGTGGTGTTGGGGTGCAGCCACACTCTTCTATGACCCAGTATGACCCAGTATGAGTTAGTGCTACAGTTGGAGAGTGCATTGAAAGCCTGGAATTAGCTTGAGGCCTGGGAAGGGGGTGGGTGGGAGGAGAGAGAATAGAATGAGGAAAGGATTTAGGGTGGTAAAGTTAGGGATGGAGACCTCCCTCTTAAGGTCCCTGACAGCTGTCCCTTCCCTTCTTCCCCTTCCCTGACTACAGGGGTTATGTGGAAGTGTGTGGGGGCAGGCAGGGGGGAGGGGAGGAGCAGGGAAGGGGGAGCTGAGAAGCTCGGCTGAGGGTCTGGGAAATGAGCACGGGTGGGGGAATGTGGATCAGGTTTACTAGCACCTGCCAGGGAAGCCATCTGGGGCTCCTTCTGCCCCCCAGCCCCCAAGCGGCCCCTCCCCCAGTGCCCTTTGCTTTGTCCTCTCCCCTGCTCCAGCTGTGGGTTCCCATCATTTCCTGGGTCAGTGCCTGGCCCACCCAGATTGTATTATGTGCTAGATTGGAGTGGAGAAGTGTGTCAAATCAATAAAGGAATAAATTCAATAAAAAAATTAATAGATTAAAGGGTATAAGTTGAATTCCACTAAGTATATATTGTGCAGTGGTGGAGTCTGGGCTTTTAGGTAGTTTTTCACCACCTACCCCCACCCACCTCCCGTGTATGTCTCCAATGTCCATTATACCACTCCGTCTCCTTGTGTAGATACAGTTTAGCTCCCACTTGTAAGCGAGAACACGTGGCATTTATTTTTCTCTTCTTGAGTTACCTCACTTAGGATAAGGGTCTCCACTTCCATCCAAGTTGCTACAAAATATGTTATTTCATTCTTTCTTCTTGCTGAGTGGTGCTCCATGGTATCTGTCTCTCTCTCTATCCATCCCACATTTTCTTTATTCACCCATCAGTTGATGGGCACCCAGGTGGACTCCTTATATTTGTAATCGTGAATTATGCTATGATAAACAAGTGCGGGTGTCTTTTTGATATAACAATTTCTTTTCCTTTGGGTAGATACTAGTAGTGGGATTGCAAGATTCAATGGTAGGTCAACTTTTAGCTTTTTGAGACCTCTCCATAGTGATCTCCCTTTTTCTGAGACTATACTAATTTATAGTCCCACCAATAGTGTATAAAGTTTACCTTTTCACTGCACCCACATCAACTTCTATTGTTTTTTGATTTTTTAATTAGGGCCATCTAATTGGAGTAAGATGGCGTCATTTCACTGTGGTTCTGATTTGCATTTTTCTGATTATTAGTGACGCTGAGCATTTTTTCTAATGTTGTTGGCCTTACAGAAAAGAATTTATTATGGAAAGGGGCTCTCCCTGAACTCTGCTTTTGTAAGATTATGTGCTGCCCCAATGAACCTACGGCAGAATATTATTTAATAAGCACACCCAGAGTCAATTTGGATTGCTATTAATGGTAATACAATGAAAATCGTAATTCACTTTCTTTTTCCAAAGACTTTGGCTTTTCCTATTCATCCTACCCATCCGTATACTCATACACACTCTCAGAGATACTTTCTCTATAGTAGCTAAAGCTTTAGACCTGTGTTTCTTAGACTTGGCCACAAGTCAGAACCACCTCTTGCTCAAGCTGCACCAGAGACTTCAGTTTTGTTGGTCTGGGGTGGGGCTGGGAGCTGGTAATTTTTTAAAGCTCCCCAAGTGATTCTAATGGGCAGCTGGAGCTGAGAATTCCTCCTTGAGATCATTATCACATAACCTGATTATGCTACTGGTAATGCTGCAGGCTCCAAGAATGCAGACAGCAAGCCCTGCTGCTATGAACTTCAAAGCGGCCCATGATTTGTCAGTGTTAACCATGTAAACTCTAGAAAGGGAGTTCAGATGGAAAAGTTCACACCTACACAGCTCATTACACGGCTATGAAAGTTAGTACCAGAGGCACAGGGCTAAGTGGTTGGTTAGGACAGCCTAAAATGAGGTTCCTAGATAATTGGAAGTAGCAATTCTTTCACTTCTCTGAAACTCAGTTAAGTAAGTTCATTTCCCCATATTTTTTTCCCAGAAAACTTGAATAACACTTGCCATACATCTTACTGCATTACAGTGACAGACAATTAAAAGAGACCTTAGGTAATGTGCTAATTGCCAATTAGCTGCAAACAGCCCTACAGTAGCAGGGGATGCCTTTGAAAGGTCAGTGGTGTACATGTATTTCACAGGTTTTCATCCACCCAACCTCATTTCTCTTCCAAATACCTTCCTGTTTCCTCTCTGTGCCCTTCCTCACAGATAATAACAGCAGAATATGTTCTGGCAAATCCACACGCTGAGCTGGGTGGTTTGTCATCACGTAAATAAATACGTATCACATGATTTTTGACGGTCTTAACGCATAGGTACGTGAAATCTCGTATGTACAATGGATTTAAAAGGAAGAATAGAGATGGGTAAACAAGATACCTGGTTTCTATTTGGGGAAAACTCCTCTGTTTACTGTATCTTTTCCCCTGATGTCTCAGTTTAAAGTCCTACTGTCTACTAAAATACCTGTGATGTTGGCATTTCTGGCTACAAATTTAGACAGCGGTGTTATGTGTAACGAGGAATGAACAAGGATCCACTCAGTGTTCCCTTGACAGGCACTCACATAAAGTTGGTCATGGATGTTGGCTCCGTGCTTCAGCAGGGTGTCCACCACCTGCATGTGCCCATACTGGCTGGCAGCCAACAGGGCGGTGCCTCCATCCTGCGGATGTGCAAAGTGTAAACGCATTAGAGACCCGGCAGGCACACACACTACCAAGAAGACACTCCTCAGGTGGGACTTGGGGAGGGAATCTTCCCATCCATAACAACAAACTCAGTCTCCCTCTGTCATCCCTTTCACATTTTCTTTATAATCATGGCAAAGTTCATCTTAAGGACATCTAGTTACATTGCATTAATAAATTTGGATGACTTGCTAGAGATATAGTTATTTGACCAAGTTATGATTAATTTAGAAAATTCCCATGCTAACAACCCAATGACCTATTTGCCTTTCAAAATGACAGTCGCAAGAGAAAGTCTGTACTAAGCCTTGCCAGTTCCATCTTTGAATTATGAGAAAAGCCTCCCATGGTGTCTGGAACAAACACTGGCATCTCCCTGTGGTAGTACCCAGTAATAGGCCAGTAACATTAAGGTATTTTTATGAGGCAACCCTCTGGGGCCATTGTCATTATGGGACAAGATCTGTATCCAGTGCGGTATCTGTAGCTCAAAGGAGTAGGGCGCCAGCCCCATATGCCGGAGGTGGTGAGTTCAAACCCAGCCCTGGCCCAAAAAAAAAAAAAAAAGATCTGCATCCACTAAAAAGGTGCACAAGTACAGTATATCCTATGTGTCTCTCACCATCCTATTTATTTTCCTTTGAACATGTGCCAGTTTGTCCAGGTCTCTCTTAAAATGTGGGCCCTAAAACTAAGCAGAGCACTGTAAAGAAGAGGTGTTCTGATGCAAACTGGGGCGTGCCTTTGTTCCATCTACTTTCATCTCTTCGTTCTAAATGAGGATTAGCTTTCATACCAACCACATCACACTACTGACTCCTTTGAGTCTGTGGTCAACTAAAACGCTTTCTGGTTTCTCTCAGGTGCTGCAGCCAGGGGATGACCTTTTCCCATCCAGGATGGTTCAGTTGTGTATCTGTCTGTGGAATGTGCACATCTGAGCTGACTGTAAATAATTCAAGAACATGTAATCTGGCTCTAAAATACAAATCATAAATATTAATACAAGAGAGTGTGATTTCTAAATTTGTATACAGAGTGTTCAAAATGCCTATCCTGGGAGCGCTGATTCAGTGGGTCTGGGGTGAGCCTGCACTGGTCATGTGGGTGACTGTGGTACGCAGGTGTCAGGTGGCTTGGAGAAACACTCAGGGATGCACATGGCTGGGAAAGGCTTCCCCCAGGGACTCGCTGTGTGGTTGGTAGGGGAGGGCGCTTGAGCTGGGCTAGGACAGGTGGAGAATGAGGAGGAGAAAGACTGACAGCTGAGCCTGCTGGTGGGGTGGGGCCTCAGCAAATTGCTTAATGGAAGCAGTGAGCACCACTGTTTGTAAGCTTTGTCTTATCAATTTCCCCAGCTCTTTGCCTAATGAAGTAACAGAACAGATAAAATGTGATGATTATCATAGAAGAAGTGATATCTTTTATTTTTAAAAACATGTTTGGGGACGTTTAGATTTAGTGATGATGAGAACAACTGTTGAAACAAAGTTTTCTTTGTTTGTTTTTTGGCTGGGGCTGGGTTTGAACCTGCCACCTCCAGCATATAGGGCCGGCGCCCTACTCCTTTGAGCCACAGGCGCCTCCCTGAAACAAAGTTTTGATGACAAGACATGCTCTTCTTCCCATGGACAGCTCTTAGACTTCTGCAGGGGACCTGATGGGAACCTGTGAAATTGCTCTTCCTGGGCCCCATGTCCCTGGGATTTCTCGGTTAGCTCCAACTGGCACATGTACAAAAGCTTTTAGTCAGTATTAACTTGTCAACCTAGGGGACTGAAGTGGCCATATGGTCACAGGTGGTCAGAGTTAGGATAGAGATTTGTGGAACTTTACTTTCTATTTTTTGTTATATCACTTTTATAATGAAAAATAAGTAATAATGTGAAATATATGTACATATTTTGTTATTACTGTGTATTACACTCAGAATGCTCAGAGCCATGAAATAGCAGGTTTCAGAAACGACAGAAATGTTATAAAAAATGGAGATCTACTTATGAGAGGAAATCCCCCCCACTCCCCCGGAAAGCTCCCTTGATATCTACATATCACATACAATGGATTAAGAAAACCAAAAAGTTTCTAATTTGGGCAAATTTTCAGGGATTTTAAATTATAACTAGGCTTAAAATGTGCTGACCATTACAAAAATCTTTTGTCCATTCAAATTCTCCTACTTCAAAACATTATCATGTAAAATCATGCACATATTATGAACATAAAATTGATCTTTCTGCGTTCTCAGTTTTCCTATCAGTATGTCAAAAATGAAAATAACTTCTTTAAAGGAAGAACCACAAATCCTTGCCCAACCATATAAACTGTAATTATGTATTAAATATATTTTTCATGAGGATAGATCATAAAAGTAAGCTACCCTCCAAACTGCTCCCTTTAGAAATCTCTCAGATTCACTAGCATCAGATTAAAACTTTCAACAATTCTTAACATAGTATTGAGATTAGTCTTGAAGGGGACAAAAAGCTCATAGAAGCAGGGAAAGTTAAAAAGCCACCTGCTCTGCACCCTTCCGGGTTACAAAATTTAGTGTCCCAGAGTAGAAAACTACCAGTGCAGGACAGAATCTACAACATTCCACATAACATTCACCAATTGTGAGCCCAGAGTAAAAAATGTTATGTTTTAAATCAAATCAATCAAATCACTAAGACTACCTCTTGTAAAAGGGGGAACACACATAGACGATTAAAAAGCTAATACCCACTACTGAAATTCTTCAATAAGGTATGAAATCAAGAAGGTTTTTCTTACTTTGGTCCTAAATTCAGTAGATGCTCCAAATCTAAAGAGGAATCTTACGACATCATCATGGCCTTGCTGGGCAGCAAAGAACAGGGCAGTTGTACCTGACTGGCAGAGAGAGAAAGTCTGCTTTTAAAAGATACTTGGTTATATTACATTTAATTTGTACATTTTCAAAGAAAACACATCAATATCCTTGCACAAAACCCTCTGGCTTAGGAAGGGGCCACATTTGAATTGATTCTATTCTTAGGCCAGAGAAGGGACAAAGGAAAAACTTTATTTGTGGTATAGTGGGATGAATGGTGCCATCCTAATTCCCAGAACTTGTGAATATGGCCTTACACCTGTATGGCAAAAGATGTGATTAAGTTAAGGATTCTGCGAGAAGGAGTTTAACCTCTGTTATCTGGGTGGGTCCTAAGAACAATGACAAGTGTCTTTCTAACAGTGAGGCAGAAGCAACTTCTCAAGTGCTGAATTGTGGAAGCAACTGAAATGTCCATCTAGAGACGAATGGATAAAAGAAAAAGGTAGTATATCCAAATAATGGAATCTTATTTAACTTCAAAAGGAAGGGCATTCTGGCATATGCTACAGCATGGCTGAACCTTGAAGACATCATGCGAAGTGAAATGAGCCAGTCACACAAGGACAAAACTGTATGAGTCTGACATAGTTATCTAAAGGGATCAAATTCAAAGAACCAGCAAGTAGAACCACGGGTGCCAAGGGCTGGTGGGAGAGGAGATGGGGAGTTTGTATTATTTAATGAGTACAGAGTTTCAGTTGTACAAGATGAAGAGTTATACAGATGGACGGTGGTGATGGTTGCACAACAAACAGTATAACTATGTGTCATACCACTGAACTCTACACCTGAAAATGGTTAAGATGATAATGTTTCTATTACATGCATTCTACCACAGTAAAAAATAATACATTTTACAAAAAGAGTGAGGCAGAGGAGTATGTGAAACAAAGAATGGGCAATGTGACCACTGAGGCAGAGACTAGAGGGCTGTGGCCACAAGGAACGCTGGCAGTCACCAGGAGCTAAAAGCAGCAAGGAAGGGAAGTCCTCGGAGCCTCCAGAGGGAGCGGGGCCCTGCCTGCAACTTGATCTTGGCCTTCTGGTCCCCAGATCTATGAATGAATAAATTCCTGTGGTTTGAAGCCATCTAGTTGATGGAACTTTATTATAGCAGCCACAGGAAACTAAATATATTTGGTATAATGTTTGGGAAACAGTAGCATTCATTAACACAGGGAAGAATTCTTGTTACAAAATTTAGTGCCCAAGAGTACAAAGGTTCCAGTGCAAGGAAGAATCTAAGTAGTTTACCCACAAATTCCTCCCATTGTGAGCCCAGAGAAAAATCAGCTCAAAATATTTCTCAAAATTAGACATATTTGACAGACAAGCAGCAGCCTGATTCTAAATTTTGTACTGATAATGATATTCTGAGACCCATTTTTTAGCTTCCTTCTTTCGAAGTTACTTCTTTCTAAGACTACAAAAGATTGGTACCCAAATCATTGCATAATATGAGCAAAATCGTATTCCTACTCTTCTGGGCAATACTGTGTATGTATTTTTCCTACAAAGATACTCTTCACTTCCATTCTTTGGGTTGGGATGAAGTTAATAGCACTTTCCCAGGCATAGTGAAAAGAAATCCCTCTTCCCACAGCTTCCCTGAGGAGGTGGGAGGTTAAGGTGGTAGGTCTCACTCAGGTGTGAGAAGCCAAGGACAGCATGTCCTCTGGACTACTGATCACTCGAAAACCTATTCTTAAGGGTGTGTGTGTGTGTGTGTTGGGAACAATGAGGCCCACCACCATAGCAGAGCCTCCAACACCTGCTCAGGTGTAACTTCAATCTCAGACTTTGCCCTGGGAAGGCACCAGCATCATGCCTGTTCACAGGACCCTCTGCCTGCAGTGCTGGGGTGATTTTTTCCTTTGTTCCCACAGAAATGAGTGGGAAGTGTCTCCCCATTTCTTTCTCATGGTGGAGGACACTGGACTCCAGAAATCTTTTTTTTTTTTTAATTGTACTTGTCGTTGTGTTACCTGGCCCACGCCAAGTTCAAACCTGCCAGCCTTGGTGTATGTGGCCAGTGCTCTAACCCACTGAGTTATGGGTGTCCCCAGAAATCTTAAGTTGTAAACAGGTCTGGATAAAGAAACTTGGCTAGAATAAGAAAACTCTCACCTTCTTCTTCTGCTTTTTTCCCCCCAGTGGAGACAGGGTCTCACTTTTGCTCAGGATGGTCTCGAACTCCTGAGTTCAAGCAATCCACCACCTCCACCTCCCAAATGCTAGGATTACAGGTGTGAGCCACCACGCCCAGCCCTCACCATCTTAAAAGATGGCAAATTTTAGAGACTACAAAGGGTCTTTCCTTGGAGTTGTTTCTTTATTAAGAGAAAGGACTGGGTGGTGCCTGTAGCACAGTGGTTACGGCGCTGGCCACATGCACCAAGGCTGGCGGGTTTGCACCTAGCCTGGGCCAGCTAAACAGTAATGACAACTGCAACAACAACAACAACAAATAGCCAGGCGTTGTGGCGGGCACCTGTAGTCCCAGCTACGTGGGATGCTGAGGCAAGAGGATCCCTTAAACCCAAGAGTTTGAGGTTGCTGTGAGCTGTGACACCACAGCACTCTACCAAGGGCAACACAGTGAGACTCTGTCTTAAAAAGAGAGAGAGAGAGAGAAAGGACTGATTCAATATGCTTTCTTTTGTTTTCATTTTTTGGAGACAGAGTTTCACTTTGTTGCCTTGGAAGAGTATCCTGGTGTCAGCTCACAGCAACCTCTAACTCTTGGGCTAAAGGGATTCTCTTGCCTCAGCCTCCCAAGTAACTGGGACTACAGGCACCCACCACAATGCCCAGCTATTTTTAGAGACAAGGTCTCGCTCTGGCTCAGGCTGGTCTTGAACCATTGAGCTCAGGCAATCCACCCGCCTTGAACTCCCAGAATGCTAGGATTACAGGCATGAGCCACAGAGCCTGGCCCCTCAATAAGCTTTCTTGATCCATTAATTACAAAAATAATAATTACAGCAGTTTCAGCCAGCTTTGGATCATACATACTATCAATCATTATGCACATTAATTCAGCAATCCCCAGAAAACAGGAGCCAGACTCCAGTCTGGAATGTGAATGTGCTTTACTTCCCAGCCCCAGGGCTTCATGCCAACTGCACGTGCAGCCCCCATGCCTGAGAGGTATAGCCAGCTAATAGTGCCGGCTCTCTAACCCCATGGGGTTTCAGGATGGTTAGCTTCTAATTGTTTCTCTAGCAAGCTCTAAGAAAAGCACAGCAAGTAGTTTTTCAGCAAACAAATATTCTGATATTGCAAAAATAGGTTAAATGATGGACCAGGAAGAAGTCTGCTATGAGAGAAAGTTCCAAAGTGTGAGGCACTCTCAGCTTCCAGAACAGCTTAAGAAGGCGAGGCTGGGGTCCCCCCGTGGCTGAGCACCCTATGCCCCAGATTGGCACAGTCTCCAGATATTTGGGAGACTGCCAGGACGTTACATAGCATCACCATTTGAACCACACAGGCTACCTTAAGTCCTCAGGGCCACTGTTTCAGTGCACAAGAGCTTTCATCTCCAAGATGAGTTGAGCAATTGGAACCAAACAAATATCAAATCATAAAAAGCACACAGTGCCTAGGAATCAAACACTTCTCTCTTCTCCCTCCTTTTCTCAGTTGTTCTTAAGAGATTTGGTGAACCTGCCCTTCAGGATAAAGTTTTTTGAGTAAGCAGATTTGGACCGTATTTTTTTTTAAATAAAGAAATCTGTCGTTTCTGTAAAGTTACAATAAACAAAGACTGTAAAGCAGAGAGGAAAAATAAAAAAGACCAGGGTTATTTTAAAGTATAATTCCAAGTGGGTCTAAACATGTTCATCCCAGAGGGAAAGTAAGCGCTGAAGTGAAAAATGCCCGGAGACAATAATCCAGTGTTACTGAAATCGCTCAGAAGGGTCCGTGTGTGAGAGGGTTCCATTCGCTGTAGTCTCCGCACTGCTGTTCTTCTCAACAGACCAGGCTCACTCAGCCAAGGCTACAGGGAACCAGACCCTGGATTCCATCAGCCACATCACCCTTTCAGGGCCCACAGCCAAGGCCTCCTGCACCCGGAGGGCTGATGGCAGGGGTGTGTGAATGTGCCCTGGAACTCTTGTCCCAACTCTTTTGCCTGATGTGTCTTAATCTACTCCACGAAGGGGTGACAGTCCAGACTGGAAGAAGAGGGTATGTTGGCTTGATGAAAGCTTGGTTGGGGAATCATCTTTTTGAAACAACTGTAAGGCAGGCCCTGCGACAAAATGAGGCCAGAGCAAGGAAAACCAAGTGCTCCAGTCTGATTTGGAGCTTGCCCAGTCTGAGTCAGCATGAACGGAGGAGAGGTCAGATGCACTTTGGGACAACCCAAGCATGGTGTCTCCACAAAGGTTAGTTTACCACATCCTAGGATGACTTGGAAATAATTCATGCCTTCTCAGACCTGGACCCCAAAACATATTAAAATGTCCCAGCCTCCCTACTGCTTCTGTGGATTGAACTAAGAATAGATCTCTAGTGAGATCAAACTACCAAAACTGACCTTGAATGAAGTGTGGAAATAGGTTTGTATTTTAGTTCAATACTTACTCATGTGGGGGCGAGCCTATTTTAATACATGGGCAATCAGAGAACCCTTTTGAATACAGTTTGGCAAGGATGATTCAGATTCTTCTCAAGTGAGTCTTATTACAAATAAGGTTGGTGACTCAACCCTTCTGAAAATACAATGGTCTCTCTACAAATTCCATCAATTCTATAGCATCTAATTCCAAGGGAAGATGGAAGAACCGACTTAGGCTCAAGACAAATATATGAATGTTTAAGGAATGTAGTAAGAGGTTTGGTTATCTCAGAAGTGCCCCACAAGACATGCTCAACTGTAATACAATCAATGGTGCTTCCTGGACCTTATTTTGGGCACAGTAAACTTTAACAGAAGAGAGATGAAGACTCCAGTCCTCTCTACCAGTTCACTATTATAGAAACTTCAGGTCTCTGAACTTCAGATCCCTGTTACTTTTTTAAAAAATGCTGCTGTTGTTTTTTTTTAGATTTTTTTGAGACAGAGTCTCATTCTGTTGTCCTGAGTAGAGTTCTGTGGTGTTATAGCTCACAGCAACCTCAAATTCTTGGGCTCAAGTGATCTCTTGCCTCAGTCTCCCAAGTACCTGGGACTATAGGCACCTACCACAATGCCCAGCTAGTTTTTGTTTTGTTTTGTTTTGTTTTTTGAGATGTGGTTTTGCTCTTGCTTAGGCTGATCTTGAAATAATGAGCTCAGGCAATCCACCCACCTTGGCCTCCCAGGGTACTGGGATTACAGGTGTGAGCCACCACACATGGCCTTGAACCTGTCATTCTTATTCAAGTGCAAAGCCTGACCTACCTCCCTTTGGAGGTTGATGTCTGCGCCCTGCAGAACCAGCTCTTTCACACAGTCTATGTGACCAGCATAGGCGGCGACCATCAGGAGCGTGGTACCATACTGGATGGAGGAGAGACAGAGGACCAGTTAGTTAGGCCATCACTGTGTCAGACAGAGGGTTCCTAGGAAGACGCTGAAGAGGGGTTGCTCCACTTAGATCACGTCCTAGGACAAAATTTCCTGCAGTGATAAAAGTACCTCGTGAATAAGCTTGTAATGCACACCAGAAGGGAGAAAGCAAAGTGACGAACTGAGGCTGGAATTTTCAATTTTCAGCCTCTGCTGACTACCTTCAGAGACATAGTCCAGATGAACCATAGTTATTGCATTTCAAGTCAGCAGTGACATAATAGTCTTATTTTATGATTCATATTAAATGATTTCTGAGCCAAAATCCTACTAGCAAGACACACAAAAATGGGTTAAATGGTACCACTTATTTTTCTGTATTTAAAACAACAAAAAATTATTATTATTATTATTTTGAGACAAGAGTTTCACTATGTTGCCCTGGTAGAGTGCCATGGTGTCACAGCTCACAGCAACCTCCAACTCTTGGGCTTAAGCCATTCTCTTCGCCTCAGCCTCCCAAGTAGCTGGGACTACAGGTGCCCACCACAACGCCTGGCTAAAAAAAATTTTTTTGAGACAGAATGTTACCCGTCACCCAGGCTAGAGTGCAGTGGTGTCATCACAGCTCACTGCAACCTCAAACTCCTGGGCTCAAGCAATCCTTCTGCCTCAGCCTCCTGAGTAACTGGGACTATAGGCATGAGCTACCACACCTAAGTTTTCTATTCTTTGGGAGAGATGGGGTCTCTCTCTTTCTGGTCTTGCACCCCTGGCCTTAAGTAATCCTCCCACTTAACCTCCCAAAGTACTTAGGATTAAGGCATGAGCCTAGCCTAAAAGTCTTTATCTTCAAAAATATTCAAAGACAAATGGCACTAGGATGCAAAGAGAGACTACGGAACTAGAAGCAGGAACTGTGGGGTCGAAGTCCACCTCTGTCATCAGCCAACAGCGTAACCTGGGCAAGGTGATTACAATTACTGAGACTTGTTCTCATCAGCTTTAAGATGAGGGGTTGGATGGGATGATCGCCAAGGCCTCTTCCAGCTTTAAGATCCAAAAATCTAAGGCAGAGCATGTGATGTTGACCCTTTCAGTTAGAAGTGGACTTTTCTAATTTAACTTACAGTTGTTTTCAAGGCCTTGAAATCACAATGTCCACCCCCACCTCTGCATGGTCAGCAACCTGCTTCTCACACGTGGATGACAAAGACAAACATGAGGAAGGCTCAGGAGGCAAAGGACAATCCTGGAGGCTTGCTGTCATTTATTATACCAGTGAGATTTTGTGGGACAGCAGTGCGGCTAAGTCCTACAGGCCTACAGTCCCTGACTGTAGGATCTTGGATGTGTTATGTAACTTTACCAGTGTAATTCTATTTATCTATAAAATGAGAGAAGAAAAAAAGTATCTGCCTGGTTAAATTACATCAGTAAATTAGACAAGTCGGGCAATGTGTTCAGCATAGTGATTAATGTTAGAGATCAGTTCAGGGTTAGACTCAAATCATATTATGATAGTTTAGTAAATGTGAGGTTATCATTTGACTGTCGACTTAGTTGGATGGCCATGCTACTTTGGGGAAGTCTTATTTGCTTTATATAAATTGTACAAGTAGAATAAAGAAAAGCTTCACAATAGTGTTTTATGTTTCTTCTACCCCATGTGCCCATATTCAGCATTTGGATATAAGACTCTTCCATAGGCTCTACCATCCCTTATTCAGTTGAATGCCTTTCTTAGTATTACGCAGTATTATGCAGGCAAGTTTGGTATTACTAACTTCTTCTTTAATGTAAGGAATTTTTAATTAGATAGCAATTAGGAAAATACAAGGTGCTATTGTCTGAATAAGTCCCTCCAAAATTCATGTTGCAACCTAATCCCCATTTTGGAAGTATTAAGAGGTAGGGCCTTGGGTGGTTGGGGTGGCTCCCATGTAATCCCAGTGCCAAGGCAGGTGGATTGCTTGAACTCAGGAGTTCCAGACCAGCCTGAGCAAGAGCCAGACTCCATCTCCACAAAGAATACAAATACTAGCCAGGCAGTGTGGCATGCACCAGTAGTCCCAGCTACTTCTGCAGAGGCAGAAGGATTGTTGGAGCCCAGGAATTTGAGGTTCCAGTGGGCTGTGATGATATCACTGCCTTCCAGCCCGGGAAAGAACTACAACAAAGAGAGGTAGGGTCTTTTGGGAAGTGGTTACGTCATGAGTTTTTTACCTTTATGAAAAGAATTAGTGCCTTCATGAAAGAGGTTGAAGAGGGTAGCTCCATGCTCCCTTCCACCATTGAGGGCACAGCAAAAAGTCACCATCTGTGAAGCAGAAGCCCTCACGAGAAAGGGCTGGAGCCACGATCTTGGATTTCCTGGCCAGATCTCTGTTTATAAATTACCGAGTCTAAGATGTTTTGTTATACAGCAACCCAGATGAACTACCACACTTGGCTGAAAGCCAGACTGACTAGATATGCTATGAATACGCGCTTTTACATGAGAGTGGAGAAAATCTGTTATCATGGGTCACACTGATCTCACAATAAAAATCAATCATGAGTCAGAGAAGGTACAAATCACTTATTTCAATATTTAAAAAGGAAAATAAAAAATGTTAGGCTCATCTGTTTCAAAGCAAAGTTGAACCAACCAAACAAAAATACTTCTCAGATTGTATTTCAATTCAATTGACTTCATGGTTAATTGAGACAAAGTTATGTTGAGACAAAAAGAAGAATAAAGAAGTATTATAGGGCGGCGCCTGTGGCTCAGTGGGTTGGGTGCCGGCCTCATATACCGAGGGTGGCGGGTTCAAACTCGACCCCAACCAAACTTCAACAAAAAATAGCCAGGCATTGTGGTGGGCGCCTGTAGTCCCAGCTACTTGGGAGGCTGAGGCAAGAGAATTGCCTAAGCTGAAGAGCTGAAGGTTGTTGTGACCTCTGATGTCACAGCACTCTACCGAGGGTGATAAAGTGAGACTCTGTCTCTAAAGAAAAAAATAATAATAATATAATAAAAAAGAAGTATTATATTAAACTGCACAAAATACTTCCTTTATATTTAAAAACCTATTAGCCTGACTGATTTTAATTCTCTAAATGTTAAGATTACTTTATTTCAGTGGCTGATAGTAAAATATATCTTTAAAAAACAAACTGGTTTTGAACAGAGCATATATAAGTGTACATAAATGTAGTCAAGTCTAAAAACCAAAAAGGCTAAGAAACACATACATTAAAACACATAAAAAGGCTAAAAGAATCTTGCCATTGACATCCTGGTGGCACATGTATGTCAGAGAGAGGAGCAAAGCAAAAGATGAAAACGTCATGGCAAGACAGCATTGATCTAGGAGTCCAGGTGAATGGGTGTCAGCACATCAAAGCCTTGCTGGAGAGCAGGTAGCCTAGAGATTAAATATTTGTTCTTTACAGTGTTGGAAAAGTTTAAACACAGACATACTCGAGGTTAGGAACAATTCCCAACAGGCCCCTCCTTGCATTCCAACAGCTCTCACGGGCTTCCTAGGTGATCCTGGGGCTTGGCCCCAATAGCGAGGGCAGTACTAGTCTAGAGATCAATTAGCATTGTAAGAAACCATCCTGGAATCTGGACTCCACACTCAGGTGGCACATGGAAGAAGCCAAACCTTGGCTAGTGACATGCCACAGGGAAGAAAGGCCTGCACTGTTTTCAAACATGTCCCTGCTTCTCAGTCACCACCAGCCTTATAGGTCTTTTCAAAATAAAGGAGATGTCTGAAATTACCATCACTTAGACTTACTCCATTGGGTTAATCATCTCTCCAGAAAGCTCCTGATAAGATGACCTCTTGTTTTAACTAAATATATTAATGTCTATTCATAGAAGCAAAATTTTTGGTCACAATAGCTACCGTTTTCCCAGCAGACAGCAGAGAGTGTGAGCTCTGAGGGAAAGAAGGTGGTGGGACAGGCCTCCTGATGCACAAAGGGAGCTGAGCAGGCTGACACTGTGCCGAGCAGGACAAGTGCAGCACTGTGGGGCACCCCTGGGAAGCTGGAAGTGGGAGGAAGTCACAGGCGTGTCTGGAAGAAGTGGCTTCAAGAACAAGGAGAAGAGTGGTCATCAGAGTGGTCAGTGGGTGAAGCCACAATGAAAACTGGTGATTTTACCCCACAGTTTTGCCCAGCATGAGGCAGGAACTGGCCCAGTGAGACCTGAGTAAGACTGGGATGGGCAGTTCACAGATGCCCAAGGCTCCATATCAGTCTGAGTTCTGACAAGGAACAGATGGCATATTCAAATTGGGATGATTGGAAGAAAGTTTAATAAAGAGACTATTTATAAAGCTGTGGCCTGGGAAACTACAAAGAACAATGTAATACTGGCAGCTAGGAATAGTGGGGCTCTGGGACCAAAGCCTGAAGGCAGCAGGGGAAGGTATTGGTCTCCAGGTGGCAGAGGGTAGGGGCACTGCTGCCAGACAGACAGGGAGGGCACTGGGCACTGACGTCCCTCTCCTCCCACCCTTTGACTCTTGCCAATGTGCCACGGGACAAACCCAACTGGGGACAGTCCATGTAGTTCTGTCTTCAGGACATGGAGCAAGAAGGGTGTGGAGTGGAGCTGGAGTTGCCAGCTGAAAATATCCTGCCCCAGGTCCCCAGTGGGCAAGTTGGAACAATCTTTGCTATTTTGTTCTTGGGCTGGTGGCAGATTCATTTACCAAATTTGTGCAACAAAAGCTGGAAATGAAACACCCTATTTTCAGGAAAACATTAAGGCTCCTTTGAAAATATTTTAATTCAAATCCTACGATCAAAATATGTCTGCTCACTCTCATGGGAGGTCCCCCTTTGTCCCCAGAGATGGGGAAAAGTCCTGCTGAGCACAGAGAAATTACTGCCCCCAGTTGGGGAGGGAAAGGGCTCTCTAATGCCTGCAAGTGAGCAGTAGTATCTATTTTTATCTTCTAAATCGCCAATTACTATTTATGTTTGCAAAAGGTGAGGGAAGTAAGAGTAAGAAGCCGGGTGGCAGCTGTCACTTCTCAGATTCCTCATCCTCATAGGAAAACCTAACTCCCACGTCCATGGCAACCCACTTGTGCTCTAAACCATCTCTGTCTTTTCATAACAACAGTGGTTTCTTTCCCTCAACAACTTTTTTTTTTCTCGTAATTTGCTGATTCTCATTCCCAGGGAAGTGCCTCTTTCTCTGCTGTGGCTGCCTTCCCTTGTTTTGTGCATGTCGTATAACTGTTTCCGTTCCTTCCTGACTTCCCCCAGTTATGTTTTTAAGTTCACAACAGTACTTTGGACATTTTGCAAAGGATACAGCGAGCGAGGGCAGGAACAAGTGAGCAAGCATTGCAAAGGGAAATGTGTCCACAGGGCAGGAGGGAGAGGCACGCTCTGGGCATGCGCACGCGAAGTACTGCGAGCCGCCCGTACACTGTCTCTGCAGTCCACGTCCACCCGGCCGCTGTTCAACAACAGCTTCAGCAGTGTCAGGTTTCCTCTCCTGGCTGCCCAGAATGCGGCGTTGGCAAGTGGAGTTTCCTTCTGCAAGAACAAAATGAAACAGGATCTTAAAGTCGACTTAGTCGCTGTGACCACTTCTACGCAGAACAGATTCACAGGGGAGAGTTTCCAGATGTGCTGTATCATTTGAAAGCTTGTTCCCCCAGCAGAAAACGATTGTGCTATACTTGGTTACAGAGTGTACTGTGCCATCCCAGACCTGGGCCTCAGTGTGGTTATGAAGGGCATGGCTGTTACTATGGCACTATTAATAACCTGTTTCCACTAATGCTCTTACCTTCCTGCCTCTGTTGTATCTGTTCCTACGGTTTCCTTCTTACCTGAAACGAATTTTCCCTCATCTTGCAAGACCAAGGCGCCACTCAAATGCTATTTTGCTCCCTGAAGCATTCCAAATCTGTTTATACTTCTAAGCAGAGCAAAGTTTTTCCCAATTCTGACCTCCAAAAGGAGTTTCCCCCTCCCTGCTTTCATGCTCTCCAAGTCCTGATTCCAGCTATCTGGGTAAATGCCTCACTTCCCTCCACCTAATTTTCTTTTCTTCAGCTAGAACTGCCAGAGTTTCAGTTGAGAACAGGGAACTTTGGGCACAGAATGCCATGACTCGTCCTTGGATGGCTCTTTTACTCTCCTGCTGGGTGAGTTTAAAGCTGAGAAGTTAATATTGGAACCATATCTATGGGAAGCGCAGAACTGGGAAACAGTATTCCAAATGCGTGGCAGAGCTGACTATAGTACAAGGTCCTTCTCTAAAACAAATCCATTTAGATTTGTAGGGAGCAGTCCAGGAGGACTAGCTTTGGGACCAGACAGCTCTTGGTTTCCACCGAGCCCTGGGCAAGCTGACTTGGCCCTGGGAAATCGCCTCTTGCTTAGATGGTACAGGGCTTGCCTTGAAGTTTAGGATAAGGACTAGTGATGTCGATTAACTGCCTAATAAGGTGTCCAGCACACCATCAATGCCAACAAGTGATGGTTTCTTTTCCTCTATCTACTTTTCTTTACAAACTCAGAATCAATAGGCAAAGTTAAATTCAACTTTCTTTTCTTTTTTTTCAAGAAAACACCAGCAAGCAAGGCAAAGTTAAACTTAGAGTACTGGTATTAATAAAGAATTTTGCTGGTTTTAGGATATTTTATTAGCATTCACATTGTTTAACAAAGGAACTTTTTGGAGTGGGTTTAAAATATCTATCAGACCCAAAAGGCCTTTTATGCATTATGTTTAAGTATGTTGATATTGGCCAGGTGCAGTGGCTCATCCCTGTAATCTTAGGCTGAGGTGGATGGATTGCTTGAGCTCAGGAGTTCCAGACAGGCCTGAACAAGATGAGACCCTGTCTCTACTAAAAATAGAAAAAAACTATCCAGACATCATAGTAGGAGTCCATAGTCCCAGCTACTCGGGAGGCTGAAGCAAGAGGATTGCTTGAGTCCAAGAGTTTGAGGTTGCTGAGAGTGATGATGACACCATGGTTCTCTACACAAGGTAACAGAGTAAGACTGTCTCAAAAAAAAAAAAATGTTGATATTGTGTTAAACATATTGCTTCACTAAGTTAAAAAGCAAACAACCAATAATTCCAGCTGCTCAATGGAGCCATCTAAAATGAAAGGACAGTGACAGCAGAGTGATGATGATATCTGTTGATGCCAGGATTTCGTTTCACAAGTCCTTCAGCACATACCCAACACTTGTGCTCTTGTACTTGCTTACCTGGGTGAGACAACTGCAAGGCAGGGAGAGATAAGCAGATAACAAACATACTTTGAATAGTTTCCAGCTCATTCAGGAGGGAAATCACCTCAAATTCCATATTAACAATTTGCTTTCCCCAAAGGTGTAAATTTTACTGTTCTAGAGCGTTCAAGCTAAACTGCAACCACAGCGCTCACACTAACTGTTGCTGCCTTGGGACCAGGCTGGGTCTAACTTGTTATAGCGATTGGTAACCTGGTAAAACAATGCAATGGTAAGGCAGGTTTGATCTGTATGATAAATCAAGAAACAACACCCTCTTAATGAAGAGAATGCACAAGGCCATGATAAATTCTGGGAGGGTGAATCAGGAAGAGACAGCAGTAGCCCTGCTGGCTTCTCCAGAAATGTAAACACAGGAGAGCGATACACTGTAACTCATTTTCAGTGACTTTGTCCTTTCACTTTAACTCCAAATACCTTTGGAAAACCAGCTGCAAACACCAAGGTTCTATGTTTATAAAGAAGCCCTCCAGCCAGAGCCTTTCCTCCCTTAAAGATGGTCTTGGGGCTGCCTGGCCCCTCTCCTACTGAGCTGGACATCCTGGTTTCCTCTAAGGTTCTAGAAATTGAGCTTTGTGAAAAGCTATAAATACTTCATTTTCCCTCAGGGGCTAGATTTACTGAAAGGCAGAGGTATGATCAGGCAGTTAATTTGGGGTAAGAAAGAGCTGGGCTCAAGCCCAAATCAATTTCCAACTCTGTGACTCAAGTTATTAATAATAACACAATACCTCTGTTATGTGTTTTGGAGTACTAAATGAGCTAATATCCATAAATACACTTAGATAGTATACACACCGACATGGCTTTTATAGGTAGCACCTGTGGCTCAGTGAGTAGGGTGCCGGCCCCATATACCGAGGGTGGTGGGTTCAAACCTAGCCCTGGCCAAACTGCAACAACAAAAACAACAAAATAGCAGGGTGTTGTGGTGGGCACCTGTAGTCCCACCTACTCAGGAGGCTGAGGCAAGAGAATCACCTAAGCCCACGGGCTGGAGATTGCTATGAGCTGTGATGCCACAGCACTCTACCAAGGGTGACAAAGTGAGACTCTGTCTCTAAAAAAAAATAAATGGCTGCTATAAATGCACATTCCTCACAGCTCTTTAAAATATAGACCCTCCATATCCTGAAGTTGACCTAATTGCCATTGACCAGACATGCACCACATGTGCAGACCAGTACAGCAGGCCTAGTTCCTTATGTTGACTACCTCATTGACCAGTTGATTGCAGTGTCTTGGGTGGTCAACTTACAGAGGTTCTACTGTGCTTCTTCAGGCAAATTCATTTGCTTGGTCACTAGCATGTGCTTGAGTTAGTGGCGCTTGGCAGGGGTTATACTCACAATGACTTAGGGCTCTTGGGAAAATATATCATGTCAACAGGAATCATAAGGTATGACAGGGGCCAGAGCAGGAATGCAGCCACTTCGCAGTAAGAGCACAAGCCAGAGAATAGTCAATTCTTCCCCAGGAGGACAGCCAGGAATGATTTGGAAGGAACGGAATAGCTTTAATTTTTTTTTTCTTTTCTGCAGACCATCAAGTGTGCAAAGAAAGGAATTCTTGAGACAAGTTTTGAAGGGTTAGTAGGGGCCTGGGTGGATAAGGGGTGCTGAGCACCCCAGACAGAGAGGGTGGTGGGGCAAGGACTTGAAGGCTTGCCACAGAGTTCTGGGGAGAACCGGCTGCTAGGCAGGGCAGGAGCAGAGAGAGTGTGGGGGAGAGGGCAAGAGCTGGTGGAGGGCAAGGGGTGAGGGCCAGATTCTGCAGGCTCTGCTGTCCGTGCTCCTGAGTTTGTACTTCATCCTGGTGGGCAGTAGAGAGTCCAGGAGGTGTCTGCAGGTGGGGAGATACCACCTGTTTCGCATTTTGGCAAGGTGCCTGTGGCAGCCCCGGGAGAAGGAGCTAGACTGAGTTGGTATTTCAAGGTCAGGAGACGATGCACAGATGGGGCAAGGCACAGTAAATGCCTGAGCTGGGGCAGCAACAGCGGGAATGGGAGGATGGGACGGACTGGAGACATTTTAAGGAGTTAACCTGAACAGTCTTGGTCTGTGATCGTACATGCAGGAGAGGAGGGGAAAGGAGAGAGGACCGATTCTCAGGGTTCTGGTTCAATGCCTGGTTGATTTTGGTTATCAATCAAGAAAGTGGACAATACCCTATGAAGGACAGGTTTTGGAGAAAAATGATGAGTTCACCTCTGAACATGCTGAGTGGAAGGAAATGTCTAGCAAAGAAATGGGCAAATGCTTCCATAACTCTGCAGCTGACACATTTACTGGAGGTCAGCAATCTTGAGCCAATGTTTCTTAAGTGCTTACTCTGCGCCACATGGTAGAGCCAGCTCTTTAATTCTCATCACAGCTCAGTGAAGCGGGCACTGTGACCACCCCATTTGACAGAGGAGGTAAGGAACAAGCCAGGCGCCAGTGCTGCGCGGTCTGTGGCTTCAGGCTGCCCCTTCTGTTTACCGACCACACTGTTCAGCGTCCTGGGAAATTCTCCTCCTGTGGAAGGAACAAGGCAACTGTGGCCCCAGTGAGCTCCTTCCTGTCCTCCACCCCAAGCTCCTCTCCAGACAAGATGGAAAGTCCCAGACTCTCCTTCTGTTTGGGGTCTACACACATCACAGTCCCTGGACGACTTCCAAATCTCCTCTGGGTGTGATATGCACATAATCACACGTGGTGTGGAGTGAGATGGGGGCAAGTTCTTAAGCCTTTAAAGGAGATCATCCAAATGAAAATACTTTACACAAGTTGCAAAGCACTGCGCCAAGCGTGCTATTATTATTTAACCTCTTTCTTGATTTTTCTGATCTCAACACAAAGGTCAGTGAACCTCTCCCAGGTGTGCTGGTTGTGACTTTATCAGTAACAACAACTAAGGTCTTGCTATGTATCAGGAAACGCTCTAAACATTTTAACTGCTTTAACTCACTTCATTCCTAGGACAACTCTGCGAGGAAGGTATCGTCACATCCTATATAATGACGTTTTGGTTAATAGACTGCGTGTTCCACAGTAGTCTCATAGGTTTTTTTTTTTAAGTAAACTTTTAATAGATATTTATAACATACATACAAAAAAGAATACAAATTACTAGTGTACCGCTTGATGAATTTTCACAAAGCCGTACTCTTAAATATTCTAGACTGCATCTCCAAAAAATAATACGTCATTCACGTAGCCACAAAAATACGAAACCCAATTTTAGAACAAAATTCTTGGGACAGGGAAATGTGAGGAGGAGTTGTCTTGTCCTCTTCTTGAGCCAATGTAAGATTTAACTTTTAACAACTGCTCATTCTTTGCCTTGTTTCTTAAGGAAGGGGTGGGAGAAGAGAAAATTTAGAT